TGTCTTTTTTGTGTTTTTGGGTATTTTGGATATTGTTTTGCGTAATTCGATTTGGGTTTTGTGTATTGAGGTGTTTGATTCGGGAAAGATTGCTCATTTACTTGTGTTGCTGTTTGGGTGTGGTGGAATGTGTAGATCTTTGTAGTTTCTCACTGATTGCTGTAGATCTGATTGGGATCGATTTTTAATTGGGAATTTGGATCTTATAGTTTGGGATTTGTTTGTGTGGGTTGCAGAAGTGGGATTGTGTATCTGAAAATTGAAGAAATTGTCCTCCTTCTCGATAAATTTCTTTCATTTGCTCTTAAAACTGTGGATCTGCAAATCGTAATGCGTTTTTTGTCTAGTAAACTTGTAGATCTTGCATTTACCTACCTCACACTTAGCTACAGTGCTCTGTTTTAGGTTCATGAATCAGTATTATACTTTGAAATCGATAAAGTTTTGAGCCCATGCTGTGATATGGTTGTCGGTAGGAGAGACGTTGATTCATTAGTTTTGTTTAAATCTGCTAGATAAGTCGGCCCTTGTTTTCATGGTTAAACTTTTTGGGAACTTTAACGAAAAAATTTTGGTACCGTTCATTTTAACTAAAAACTATATTTTTACACTAAAATATCAACCTGATACTATTCACTTTACCCTTTATTTTGTTCTTATCGTTAAAACTCAAAGTTTTCAAGTTATTTTCATTAGTTTTTCTAGTCTTCTTCGAAACTTTTTTGTTTTTGCTTCACCATGGATGACCAATTTTTCTCCTAGATTTGCATATCATACTGCATTCTCAATGGAATATATGAAGTTCGATTAGTAATAAAGCTTGTTCGTCATCATTCTATATATTGGTGTATTTGTGCCTTTGTTCTTAATTCATTTATGTTTAGGCAAGTTGTTGTAAATGTTTTCGTTATGTTAAGAACAGTTAAAGGTCGGTCAGAAGCATTTAGTCCTTCAAATCTATAATAATTATATAACAGCACAAAGATCTAGTATTTCAGTGCTTGAAAATACTGTACCTTATCTCATTGTTTTGATCTGCTCGTCTTTAGGCCATCATTAGCAGAACAAGATGGTGAAGATCTGCTGCATTGGAGCTGGATATGTTGGTGGGCCTACTATGGCTGTGATTGCCCTTAAGTGCCCAGATATTGAAGTAGCTGTTGTTGACATTTCTGTGTCAAGGATCAATGCCTGGAACAGTGATACTCTCCCCATATATGAGCCAGGCCTTGATGATGTGGTGAAGCAGCGCAGAGAAAAGAACCTCTTCTTCAGCACTGATGTTGAAAAACATGTTATGGAGGCAGACATTGTCTTTGTTTCTGTCAACACGCCCACCAAAACCCAGGGTCTTGGAGCTGGTAAAGCAGCTGATCTTACCTACTGGGAGAGTGCTGCTCGTATGATTGCAGATGTTTCGAAGTCTGACAAAATTGTGGTTGAGAAATCAACGGTCCCAGTTAAAACAGCTGAGGCCATCGAAAAGATTCTGACCCACAACAGCAAAGGCATCAACTTCCAAATTCTTTCAAATCCTGAGTTCCTTGCTGAGGGAACTGCAATCGAGGACCTTTTTAAGCCAGACCGTGTCCTCATTGGAGGACGGGAAACCCCAGCGGGTCAGAAGGCAATTCAAGCACTCAAGTCAGTCTATGCCCATTGGGTCCCTGAAGAAAGAATCATCTGCTCTAACTTGTGGTCTGCTGAGCTTTCAAAGCTTGCTGCCAACGCCTTCTTGGCACAGAGGATATCTTCTGTTAATGCCATATCTGCACTCTGTGAGGCAACTGGTGCAAATGTCCAAGAAGTGGCACATGCTGTTGGCAAGGACACAAGAATTGGGCCCAAGTTTTTTAAATGCCAGTGTTGGTTTTGGCGGGTCTTGCTTCCAGAAGGATATCTTGAACTTGGTATATATCTGCGAGTGTAATGGCCTTCCCGAGGTAGCAAATTACTGGAAACAAGTCATTAAGATCAATGACTACCAGAAGTCTCGGTTTGTGAACCGTGTGGTTTCCTCAATGTTCAACACAGTCTCGGGTAAGAAGATTGCAATTCTGGGATTTGCCTTCAAGAAGGACACTGGTGACACCAGGGAGACCCCAGCCATTGATGTGTGCAAAGGGCTGTTGGGTGACAAGGCCCGGTTGAGCATCTATGACCCTCAGGTGAGTGAGGATCAAATCCAGAGGGATCTTTCTATGAAGAAGTTTGATTGGGACCATCCCATTCATCTTCAACCTCAGAGCCCCCCTGCTGTGAAGCAAGTTGGTGTAGCCTGGGATGCTTATGCGGCAACAAAGGATGCTCACGGAATCTGCATCCTGACCGAGTGGGATGAGTTCAAGAGTCTTGATTACCAACAGATTTATGATCAGATGCAGAAGCCTGCATTTGTGTTCGATGGAAGGAACGTGGTGGATGCTGAGAAGCTGAGGCAAATTGGGTTCATTGTTTACTCGATTGGAAAGCCCCTGGACGAGTGGCTCAAGGACATGCCCGCTGTGGCGTAAAGACTTGATGATGAGGAGAGAAGCACAGTAATTTGAAGATCGATCCCCTTGTGCGTAAAAGTTCTATCAGTTCCGAAGTTTGTTACTGAGAGTGGATGCTTAATTCGTCCTTATTTTTATCTTCTTGTATTAATTTGTTATTTCACCTTTCTTAAAGTTGGGGGTTATGTTGCGTCATATTTTACTTGTAATAGTACCCTTAATACGGTTCCTGAGTTTGTCCTCAGTTTAGTGGAATATATCTCAATTTGTTATTCTCTTAGATTAATGTAATAAAATCAGAAACCAGGAAATTATAATTCTTTTGGTCTTCCTTTTTTGTTATGTTGCAAAGTAGGGTCGTTTACAATTGGAGAAAAACACGTGTGCTCTGTCACCATGACATCTCGTGCGAAACAGACAACGCTACGTGTGTATTTGATTAGAAGAAAAAGGCTCGAACCGAATGAAAGATTACTAGCTCACAAGAAAGGGTTGCAACAATAGAGAGACCTTACTTGTTCTGAAAAGACAGATGAGCTCACAGCAACCAACACAAATGGCTCCCAAATGAATGCTAGAGTAGCGTTGCCTCACATTTGGAATCATATTAAAGCTTTTTAGCCAAAATGGTCTCTGAGATTTGTATAACACATCACTTTAGTCATTCCGTTAAAAATTCCGTTAAGTGTCCCTGAGCTCTTAGCTGGAAGTTTAAGCAATTTTCAAAACTTTGTAACTCAATTGTTTATTAACCAAATTCGACCCATAATATATCAAAATGAAGATAGGAAAGTGTAGAACAATATTATACCTATTTGGAAGGTCAATGGTTGAGTGCGGTGGACGGAAAATAGTTTGGAATGTGACTGGTCCAAGGGAAAACTGGAAAACTCGCCGGAAACTGGGTAAATTTTAAACGTTCATAACTTCTTCAATAATCAACGAAATCGAGTGATTCAAAAACAAAAATCATACTTCTCAATGAGAAGAAGAGAATTGTACTTTTCTTGATGGCTAATTCTCCGTGGTTTGGCCGGAAAATGGCTCGAAAGTGGCTAACTCAAGACCAAGATAGCTACTTTCGAGCCATTTTCCGGCCAAAACACAGCAAGTTAGCCATCAAGAAAGGTACCATTCTCTTCATATCATCGAGAAGTATGATTTTCATTTTTGAATCACTCAATTTGGTTGAGTATTGAAGAAGTTATGAACGTTTAAATTTTATCCAGTTTTTGGCGAGTTTTTCAGTTTTCCCGCGAACTAGTCAACTTTCAGGCTATTTTTCAGCCACCGCCGACAAGCATTGGCCTTCCAAATAGGTATAATCTTGTTCTACAATTTCCTATCTTCATTTTGATATATTATGGGTCGAATTTGGTTAAGAAACAATTGAGTTACGAAGCTTTGAAATTTGCCCAAACTTTTGGCTAAGAGCTCCGAACACTTAACAGAGTATTAACTGAATGACCAAAATAATGGATGATGGACAATCTCAGGGACCATTTCTATTGATTTTCAATCTTAGTGACCAAAATGATGTGTTATACAAATCTCATAGACCATATTAGCTAAAAAGCCATTCATTTATGTAAAATGGTACTATGTTGCAATATTATTTTACTTTAGTATTGTTATAGGTCAACGAAAGAGTAAAATTATATATGTACAAGGCAGAGAGTTCAAATCTATAAGACAATTGGAGGAGGGAGAGTTGGCGGTTCTTTTATTATTTTTAAGAAAAAATGACGAATTTTAAACTTCACTAAAGAAACAGTGTTGTTTTGCTAAAATTAAATACGTCTTTTTTCCCTCGGTCCTAAATGAGAATCGAGTGGTAGAGTTGCACCGGAAAGATGTCGATGCTTTTAGCTTTTGTTGAACTCGTTTTTTCACAAAAAAAATGATTCAAAAGAGATATTTTGAACGTAGTTTGGACAAATTACTTAGAACTAAGTGTATATTTCTTGAACCCAAAAAAAAAAATGAGATGGGCACATACCCCCCCCCCCGGGCGGCCCTTCATCAAATTCGATCAAGTGTACCATGAGTATTTTTTCTCTTGTATTTTGGCAAAAGAGAATTGCAAAATGACTTTTTTCAAAAGAAATTCGATGAATTGGAAATATTGTCATGCTGTTATTAGAATATTTTGATTGAGAGAGGAGTTGTATACTGAATAATATTTTGCTTTGAAACTTTCTTGACGAATTCAAACTCACAAATGTATTTTTGAAAACACCGTTTATGTTGCGTATCTTTTAACTTAGTAACTAAAAGTACGGTACCTTCTTATATAATGTCGGGGTTGCATAATAATAAATTAGTTTGTCATCAATGTAATTTAATACTTGTTACGTTTTAAAAAAATAAAAATAAAAACAGTTGGCTAGAAGTTCTTTAATGATTAAAGAATAAAGGTTTTGTGAGGACCTTATCGTAAATTCAATTCCACAAAAGCCGGCTTCAGCCCTTTCGAGTTATATAGGGTCCATCCCACACCAAAGCTCTCTCTCACGGTATCAAGATTAAACCGGTTTTTTTTTTAAATCCGGACCGCTTTCTTTACAGAAAAGTACGAACCGTAGCCCCTTTATCTTTCATCGTCATCCCCTTTCGATTCGATCCCAGACAGATCGATCTAAATTTCTTTCCCAGATTTCCCTTAATTTCTTATCATAATCGTTGAATCGGATGTCCGTTTGTATAAATCCGAATCTCCCCTATCGATTAATCCCAAATTCGACCAAATCCTTTGGCCTCGTACAATTCTAGGGTTTCGACTCTGAATCGGCCCCTTTCGCCTCGTAATATTCCAATCCATCTCGTTTCTTCGATCTAATTTCTGTCTCCTTGCTTTGCCCTCTTGAATTTGGTCCTAATTTTGTAGATTTTTTCGGCCGCGTCAAATTTCTAGGGTTTCGTAGAGTTCATCTCGTTAGGGTTTGTTCTTTGTGTAAATTCTTGTAGGGGTTTTGTTCGCCTCACCTTTCTTTCGCTATTTCGTATGTTTTTTTGTCAATAATTTCACGATTTCACTTGTCAATTGCAATTTCTAGGGTTAGGGTTTCTGAAAAAATTCAGCTTCTTTATTTGGTAAAATTGGATTAGGGTTACGGTTCATAAGGCCGATAAATCCGTTTCTGTTCATAACCAGCGTTCAATTGTATTACTTAAGCCGTCTGCTGTTCCTCTGAAGAATTAATAGAGGTACAATTTTGTTGTTGTCATTATAATCTTGTGATGGGTTTTTGTTGTAATTATTGGAAGCTTTTTGCCCTATCAGTTATCATTATTATTCTTATGCTGACAAATAAATTTGATAAGTGGAAACAGTATTGAGATTGATATTGATATTATTCAAAATATTTTGTAACTTTTTGGTTAGCTTAAGTTGGAGTGCGTGGTCCGGTGAAAATGGCTTAAGTGGTCTGTGTTCAAGTGAAGATATGTTGGTGTTCTGATTAAGTGAATGAGCAATTGAAAGCAAGTTACGCGGGTTTTGGCGGATTTAGATTAGCAACGTTACATGCCTGCAGTTCTTGTCTTGGAAAATCTGTTAGGACAAACGTAGTATTTTATTCCTGCTAAATGCATAAGTATTATTGTTATTGGTGTTGTCATGCATATTTTCAAATTTTTCATAGAAATTAATTATTTGGGCTTCAGGTTAATATGGGATTCAAAAGGCCCTTTGATGATGTCGAGTTCCAGGAGCTTCCTTATAAGCACTCAAGACAACATGAATTCGGTGATAGGTGCTCACCATTCTTTGATGCTGTTTCTTGTTATGGTGCTCCCCGAAAAACATATGTTTCAGGTAATGTTGTTTTGGCGTTACATTACTTTCATGTTCCTTTTGTAGCTAATATAGCCTGCTTTTTAACTTACTGAACATGGTTGCTTTGACTGATTCATGTTGAAGTCTAATTTTATTTTTATTTTTTTCATAAAACAGGTGAGAATGGGAGTGGTGATTGTAAGTCCCAGTGGCTTGAGGTTCTTGAAAAATATACTGTTGCTGAAGATTCAACAGCTGCCAACAAGGGTTGTGTTCCCTTCTCATTGGTTACCAGGAGTTATGGTGAAGAAGATGTGCGTTCTGGACCAGATGCTTATTCACCTTCTGCTGAGGATTTCAAATTTGACTTCCCAAGGAGAACATGTGTTCCTTTCAAGGATGCTTATTCTTCTTTGTTTGACCTCTCTCCAAGGAAACAAGTTCCGGTTGGACCAGATCATCAGGCCAGGATACCTTTATGGAGTGGACGCATGAAATCGACGGATCAGAAAGATGAGATTTATAACAACAACATTTCCTTGCAATCTTTGGAATCAGAAAAGACTGTGAACAATGATAGTGAGGAAAAGCTTTTAGGGACTTGTGTCATTCCAATGCCTGAGTCAAACCTCTCAGCACTTGAGTGTGATAAGGTTGGATTTGGTCGAACAGATTGTAGCTGCCTGGACGCAGGTACAGTCAGGTGTGTGCGACAGCATGTCATGGAAGCACGGGAAGAACTTAGAAGAACTCTTGGAAATGAAAAGTTTGTCAAGTTGGGGTTTTGTGAGAAGGGGGAGGAAGTGGCACGAAGATGGAGTGAAGAAGAAGAGCAGGCCTATCTTGAGGTTGTTTACTCTAATCCTGCATCATTGGGGAGGAAGTTTTGGAAGCAGTTGTCTGCAGTGTTCCCTTCTCGTAGTAAAAGGGAACTGGTCAGCTATTATTTTAATGTGTTTATGCTTCGCAGGCGGGGCACTCAGAACAGATCTAGTATACTAGAAATAGATAGTGATGATGATGAGTGGCATGGAAACAATGGAGATTCCAATGACGCACCAGATGCTGAAGATGATGAAGACTCCGTTATTGAGTCTCCTTATTATCAAGATGATCGTGTGGGCAATGAAGAAGATTACTCTGAAGAAGATGATAGTAGTGATGGTGGCGACAGTGATGGTGATGTGGGGCATGTTGAAGGAGATTCTAGCAAAGCGGATGGCAGGATAGATCATGTATCGCAATCATACATGCTGAAGTCAGTTAAAGAAGGAAAGTTTGATACACTTGGGGATTGGGAAAAGAATTCAGGGTGTACTGGAGACGAATTTGATTTCCAAGATGACTCATGTGTATCTTTCGAATTTCAGTCCAATATCCATGATTCTCGCAGCAAATGCTTGGATACCCAGCCTGATGCATCCAGTGATGCAGCTGGTCATGCATATTTATTGGAGCCTTGCAACGCTAAAGTTTGGGATGGAAGGTTCGGGGTGGACACCATGAAAGGCGATGATCTACTGCCAACGTGGAGTATGATTGAAGACATATTTGATCAAGGAATGGCGGCGGATTACAAGATGACGGATGAGCGCAAGGCACCAGCCGGTGGCTAGGTGGCTTACGAAATAATTCTTTTAACCCCAATTAGTTGCTAATAAAAAATATGAAAAGAAATGTTGAGTGGTTAAACTCGTCATCAAATACATTGTCTTTTTGTTTGTTCTCTTATTCTTCTTCTTTTTCTTCTCCTCTTCATCATCATCGTACAAAAGAAGTCGACCTTTCCCCTCGTCTTATTCGAAATTCCCAACTTTCTAAGCAAATTTCCCAACTCTGCATCAAACACCTGGCTTTGTGATTAGATGGGAAACGGAGTTGGATTCTCTTCCTTCTTTCTTCTTTCTCCAATCGCAATTATATAGAAAGACAAAATAAAAAATGTGATGGGAGAGGAGAAGGAAAAGAGAGTAGGACGGAAGAAAATCATACTCCGATGAAAAACCCCCACCATCAGGTGATGATTTTGGGCCCTTGGACGGGATCTGACGGCCACAAAAATTCGGCACAAATGCCGACCTGCACCGAAGAAAGACCGCAGCTCCATTACCTCTTTATTTATAGTCCCACAGCAGGCACCCTCATGAGAATTTTTATCAATACTTCCCCTTTTTGGATGTCTCGGAACAATGATATTCACACTTTCATTTTAATGATAATTCTCTCATATTATGTATTTTTGTGCAAAAAATATAAAATCACAGAAAATTCATAAAAAGTCATACTTTTAAAAAGGTCTTGTTGGCATCTCGACAAACATGAATCGAGAGATAATAGAAAATGGGAACAAGATCTCCTCCGAATCCAAATAAACTGAGCCTAAGAATCAAAGGATCTGACCGTTGAAATTTGATCTAACGGCTACAATTATTATAATTTTTAAAGGGCTCTTTGTTTGTAGTTGTTAGATCAAATTTTAAATGATGAATTCTTTACTCAGAATGCTCAATTTATTTGGGTCCAGAGAAAATCCGGTTCCTAGAAAATGTATTTGTTGCGGCAGCCGACTAAGCACTCTGCTCAGAATATATAATGAGGGAGGACTGACATGCACACTGCAATTGCGACTCATATCTTCAAAGTCAATGCTTTCAAATATGGGTTGTTGAATTCTTTAACTTTTTTGTGTTGGCCAGGTGGTACTCTTCAGCTGGATTGGCAAATTTTGGTCAACCACTAGATAATTTATCAAACAACTATAAAATTTAGAACTTATATTTACGTTAGGGTGAATTGTCAATTTAGTCCATGAATTATCATTTCAGTGAAAATTAGATCCTAAAATATGTTTTTTAGAAAAATTGGTCCTTGAATTATAAAAATCCGCCAATTACATCTCTAATATTATATTCGAAGCTAATATATTCAATTTTCTGTCAATTTAAGTTACGTTACTTGCATATGATACACATTAGAGGGTAGATTGGTAGTTTTCCATAAAGAAATAGTGTATGGAGTTAACTTTGGAGGGTAAATTGGTAGTTTTACATAAGAAATCGTTTAAGTTAACTTTGGAGGGTAAATTAGATGTTAGATTCGTAACCTATATGAAATGTGAAGGGCTTATAAGCGAGAAAATGACGGTATTACACTCTAAAGTGTGTCAAATGACTTAAGTTGAAGAAAAACTGGATAAAATAGCTTTGAATATAATAGTATGGATGAAATTAGCAATTTTTAATGAATTTAAAGACTTATTTTACCGAAAAATAAATTTATGGACCTAATTTTCACTGATGTAATAGTTTAGGGACTAAATCGGCATTTCACCCTTTAGGTTAAGCTGCCAAACGCAGGTCGGAGTTAAATTAATTGATTAAAACAGTGTCTGTCTATTAAAATTTTGATTTATGTTAATAGACACAAATAAAATAAATTAGGAGATGCAATCGAGCAGATAAGTTTGTTTTTCGTCTTTTATTTTCTCTTTGGCCAATAGTATTTGTTATCCAAACTCATAAAAGTTTTAAACAAAAAATAAGACCCACAAAAGAATAATGCATGATATGGAAGATGCCAAGCAGGAAATTTAAAAAAAAATAAACATCTGAAATGGATATATCACAATCAGATCCCTACAAGATGGGTGATTGACTTAATCAAGGGAACTGGTAATTACTAAGCAAATATGCCTTTCTATGAATTGAATAGTGTGGAATTTAGTATGTGTTTAGAAGTGTTTTTAAAATGATTAAAAATGTTTTTGTTGAAAATGTTTTAAAAATTAATCTTTAGTAAAAATCAAATGGGTTTTGGAAAGACAGTTAAAGTGTTTCGTGTAAGAAATACATATTTGGTGCTTCTTCTAAAAAACACTTAAAAGTGATTTTGAAACTCAAAATCAATTTTCCTAAAAACTCTTTTAGTCATTTTAAAAGCACTTCTAAACGGCAATTTGTTTTGGTGTTTGAAGAATTGGGAACAACATGTGTCATCTTAGTCAGCATCCAACTTCAAGATTAGTTTGATGATTTCAATCTCAACCGTTGGATCAAGTATAAAACTTGAATTACACGGTGAAAAAGTTGTTAAATTCAAGTATGAAAATGTGGACTAACAACAAAGAAACAAGGTATATGAAAGTGTGGATAAGACTACAAAACACCAGTCATATACTACTATAGTGGGAAAGGGATTGAAAACAAAGAAAATTCATCAAATGTTGACACGCCCCTCACCTATGCAAATACATTTCCTTTTCGGATTGTGCTGGACGCAATCACTCATACCGGCTCGTATGGGCTCGCACTTGCACCAATGGCTGAGCATCACCTGTGCGTGAGTAGAAGACTGTCTCGAGCACTCCTCCGACTATATGACTAGACTACAGGAAGCTTATAAAACAATAAAGATCCGACCTTTGGATTGTGCTTCTCTACAATTACAAGCAAAGACAAGGTTAAGGCATAGTTTGGACTAGGAGGATCCTCGTCGGATTCTTTTTGTGAGGATCTTGAGAATCCTCTAATCATATTCATTTATTGTATATCGTGCGACTAATTTTTATCAAATTCTGTTTATATTTAATTTTAAATAAAAAAATTTACAATAATTATCCTCCACCCTAATTTCGACGATGATGTTTCAGTTTTATTTTAGACTAACTAGTAGTATTACTCCTCAAACCTTGGGATCCTCAAAACACACCCATCAATCCTGGCCGTCCAATTGAACAGCGAATACGTCTCACTTGACTACACGTGCTGCCAATCTTCTACTCCCGTTTTATCTTTTGCTTCCATGCATGGAATTCTCCTCCGACTATAACACAAGTTAGAGAGAGAGAGTTTGGAGAGAGAAAGTGAGAGAGAAGAATCTCTGAATCAGTCATGGCTTAGCTTTTTGATTGTTTTTTACAGGCCTCTTCATCGCCATCATTAGCGTGAAGAAACCCATTTCTTCAAAATTTAATCTTTTCGATTTAATCCTAATTTTTGTTTTCAACATTGAAGAAAGGGATTGTGGGTTATACTTTGAAATGGAATTTAAAGGGTTACTTTTTGTTGGGTCGGATCTCGTACTTCACAAAACCGTCACATCTCAGCACTTCGATTCTCCCATCTGTTCATCATCTGCAATAAAGCTACAAACTTTGTGATCTGTGTCTTCAGTTGCTCGCTCGATCTGAGAGAGATTGTGCCTCTGTTTCTATCTGCTATTTGGGTATTTTTTTGCTGGAATCAGGGAACCGAATAATGCTGCATTCTAGCTACTTTGTTCGAGGTAAGTTTTGCTGATTTTACTTTGTTACTGCTGCCCATCTTTTGGTTTGAACTATTGAATGATGAAAAAAAATCCAACCATGGAAGAAGAAGATCAGAACGATCAGAACCAGAAAAAGAAATTTGTCTGCAGGTTTTGCAGCAAAAGATTCCGTTGTGGGAAGTCATTGGGTGGTCACATAAGAACCCATCTGAAGATTCTGAACAAAAAACCAGTTATTGAAAAAGAAGAAGAGGAAGAAGACGATGAAATTATAGCCAAAGCTGCTGCTAGGATTGTAAAGTTTTCACCTTTTGATGGTGGGAATTCTGGGTACTCTCTCAGAGAAAATCCCAAGAAAACATGGAGGTTTTCGGATGCGGGCCCTACTTTCCAATTGCAGCAGGAGAAAGTGTGCAAAGAATGCGGCAAAGGGTTTCAGTCACTGAAAGCTCTGTGTGGTCACATGGCTTGTCACTCGGAGAAGGAGAAGCTGATGAACAAGTTTGAAGAAATCTCAGAGTTCAGTGAGAAACAGAAGCTGCTTGATGTAATGGACAGTCAGTCGGATACTGAGACATCGGCTCCTCCGAGGCAGAGAAGGATTTCCAAAAGATTGAAGCAGCAGAATCTGGATGTTTACTCTTCTGTGGCAAATGGTGGTTCTTCGTCTGGTGGTTCCGGAATTGAGCAAGAACAGCAAGAGGTTGCTCTTAGTTTGATGATGCTATCACGCGATTCGGGTGGTAAAGGGGGTTTGAATTCGTTTGCTGAATCTTCAGACAACAACTCTGTGATTTTGGAGGCCAAATCTTCGTCTATCGATATGAGGATTAATACTAAGGAAGGTCTGAACTGTGCCTATAAAGTGAGTGATGTTATGGGGATGAAGAGAGTTAGAGAGAAAAAGTTGAAGTCCGAGGAGATTGAGGTTTCTGACAATTCTGATTCTGGGTATTTTAGACATGAGCAACCTAAGAAAGTTGATTCGGATGTTTCGGTTGATGGGTTTTTTAGGAATGGTGAATTTCACAAGGGTAGAGCAGAATTTGGATCCAGAATTGAGGGATATGAGTCCTATGATGTGAAATTAAGGAAGGGTTTTCGTGTCGAATCTGAATTAGGGAAGGATGTGTCAAATGCAGAAGCTCGTAGTCCTGATCAAGTGCATAGAGATAGAGGGACTTTGAAGTATGCACTGAGAAAGACAACCAAGAATACAACTTTTCACAGACCAATTGTCGATGATTCGTCCAATGTCGAACCCTGCAGAAATGCGCGAAAGAGCGGAAAATACGAGTGCTTGACATGTAACAAAACGTTCCATTCTCATAGGGCTCTTGGGGGGCACAGAGCAAGTCACACCAAGACCAATGCCTACTCTGAGTCCATTTATGAGAGTGGGGAAAACAGCGTAGACACTGATCCCTCCCCAGTTCTGACACCCGAAAGCAGCAAGCTTGCTGATC